CACAGCACACTACAGCCCTGAACTCCTGGGCTTAAGCAATCCTCCTCCCTCAGCCTCCTGAGTAGCTGGGACTACTGGTGTTTGCTACCATGCCCAGCCCAAATTGTTTTTTTATTCCCGGTATAACCGTACCAAGTATTTCTTAACGTTGCAAAGATATTCCTATTACTCTAATGCAGGAAAAATGCACAAAAGGTGAGATGCATATGAAACTTCAGAAATCATTTCATTTCACTTCCTAGAAAGCTACAATATTCCTACAATGCCATATTTCTAGATGCAAGGCTTATGGACAAATAAGTGATTATTAAAAGCAGTTAATATAAGCAACTATATTAGAAATTAAAATCACTTAATGATTCAGTCATCACCACCCCTCCCCTAACCCCCCAGCCAACTAGTGGCCTGACAGATTAAGGAGAAATGATTTTTTTTCTGGTTGTTAATATTACTTTATTGTCTACTATTCCTTTACATACAATGTCTGGCATTCAATCAAAAAAAAAAAAAGAAACATGCAAAGAAGCAAGAAAATGTGGAACTCATTGTTATGAGGAAGCCTTCAAGAGAACAGTCACACAAACAGAATATATGAATCTTTAGGTAGGGATTTTTAAATAACCACAAAAGTACGTTAAATCATTTAGTACAAAAGGTAGATCATGTATACAAAGAGATAACGAATTTCAGTACAGAGAGTATATGTGAATGGGTGTGAATGTATACGGAAGTGCTAGAAATTTTTAAAAATCAGAAATCGGAACCACTAGAAGTTAACAAGATGAACTATAAAAATAAAAGAAATAGTGATTCCCCCACAAAAGTTGGTTCTTCCAATAGAATGATAACTGGTAATNTGTTTTTCTTTTGACATTGCTTGAACTGAAAGTGTTAAAATTCCTGGTATCATGAGGAGCTGAGCAGAATTTCAGCCCTTATTATTTCCCTTTCCAACTTGCTTTTCTGTTTTTGAAACGGAGTTTCGCTCTTATTGCCCAGGCTAGAGTGCAATGGTGCAATCTCAGCTTACTGTAACCTCTGCCTCCTGGGTTCAAGCGATTCTCCTGCCTCAGCCTCCCAGGTAGCTGGGATTACAGGCGCCCGCCACCATGCCCAGCTAATTTTTTGTATTTTTAGTAGAGATGGGGTTTCACCCTGTTGGCTAGGCTAGTCTGAAACTCTCGGCCTCAAGTGATCCACCCACCTCAGCCTCCCAAAGTGCTGGGATTACAGGTGTGAGCCACCACATCAGATCAAGAATTATTTCAAAGGACTTATCAGCAGATTAGCATAATAAAGAATCAGTGAAGTTGAAGTTAGGTTAACAAATTATCCAAACTGTACTATAAAGGGCTGGGAGAAGGAGTGTGTGGAAAGAGTCATGTGAAACCTGAGATGATATGAAACAGTTTAATACTTAATATACATGTAACTGGAGTACCAGAAGAGAAAGAGAGAAAATGATAGAGAAATAATGTGAAGAGACAATTGCAAAGAATTTCTGAATTGATGATATAGATCTACCTACACCTCAAGACGTTAGCAAATCCCAAGCAGGATAAATACAAAGGAAACCACATTTGAGACAATTCACAGTCACACAGCTAAATAATAAACGTGGGGAGCTGGGTGGGGAGAATTTGGAGTAATTGCTTAATGAGTATGAGGTTTTATTCTGGGTTGATGAAATGTTTTGGATCTACACAGTGGTGGTAGATATACAGTACTGTGAAAGTACTGAATGTCACTGAATTGTTTAAAATGATTACTTTTATGCAATTCACCTCAATAAAAAAACTGAGGGAGCCAGGCACAGTGGCTCACACGTGTAATCCCAACATTTTGGGAGGCCAAGGCGGGCAGATCACGAGGTGAGGAATTCGAGACCAGCCTGACCAACATAGTGAAACCCTGTATCTACTAAAAATACAAAAATTAGCTGGGCATGGTGGTGGGTGCCTGTAGTCCCAGCTACTGAGGGGGCTGAGGCAGGAGAATTGCTTGAACCCAGGAGGCAGAGGTTGCAGTGAGCTGAGATCACGCCATTGCACTCCAGCCTGTGTGAAAGAGTGAGACTCTATCTCAAAACAACAACAACAACAAAAAAAAAAAACTGAGAGAAAAAGATATAAATATATAATTCTCAAAATAAAAACATGTAATATGACCCTTTAACATATAAAGATGTTCAATTTCACTGATCATAAGAGAAATGCAAATTAAGACTATGCCAACATACAATTTTCCTACCCATCAGATTGGCAAAAGGTCAAAAGCTTAAAAATACAGTATTTTTCACTGGCCAGGCGCAGTGGCTCACACCTGTAATCCTAGCACTTTGGGAGGCTGAGGCGGGTGGTTTACCTGAGGTCTGGGAGTTCAAGACTAGCCTGGCCAACAAAGTGAAACCCCATCTCTATTTAAAAAAAAAATACAGTATTTGTCAGGGCTGTACATAAACAGGCACTTTCATACACTGCCAGTGGGGAGACAAAACAGTATAACCCTTACTTTTTTGTGGAGACCCTGGTCTCCACAAAAAATAAAAAATTAGCTGGGAGGCTGAGGTGGGAGGAATACTTGAGCCCAGGAGTTCAAGGCTACAATGAGCTATGTAACACCACTGCACTACAGCCTGGATGACAGACAAACACTTTGTGTTCCCCCTCAACAAAAGAGAGAGAGAGAAAGAGAAAAAAACACATCTACTTACTTTAAAAAAAAAACACGAAGAAAAAAGGGATGAATAAACAAGATGCCAATTATACTGATTATCCACATGGAGTATAGAACAACAGGAGGGAATGAAACACTAGGGGGCTGGGGATTGAAGGGTGAGCTAATTTGGGTAAACTGCAAAAAATAAATTCACTATACATTCTTAGTCTAGGGGAAAAAAACAACTATTAGCAAATCCTGAACTCCTTTTAATACGTTTCTTTTTCACAGAGATATGGATGAAGCAACTCTGAAGCCATTTTGTGTGTATTGTAGACACTGTGCAAATGAATAAATGTACTGATGCTGTTGGAAGCGAGGTAAACAGACATAGAGAAGAGGGAAAACCAAGGAGAACCCTATAGAGTTGGGATTGGAATTAAGAGTTATCAGTATGAACCATGGTAAATTATGAAACTCAAATATAGACTGTAAATTACATAACAGTACTCAGGGTTAAATTTCCTCAATGGTTTCAGACACACACATACATAATACAGGGGAAAGAGGAAGGAAAGGAAGAAGGAAGAGGAAACAATAAAAGCAAATGTGGCAAAGTGTTAAAAATTGGTGAATTCAAGGGAAAAGTGTAAGTGAACTCAGGGGGTCTCTGTATAATTCATGCAATTATCTGTAATTTTAAAGTTATTTCAAAATAGTTAAAAAAGAAAGAGAGGCTGGGCATGGTGGCTCACACCTGTAATCCCAGCACTTTGGGAGGCTGAGGCGAGCAGATCACTTGAGGCCAGGAGTTTGAAATCAGCCTGGCCAACATGGTCATGGAGTTTGAAATTAGCCAGGCATAGTGGTGGGTGTCTGTAATCACACCTACTCAGGAGGCTGAGGCACAAGAATCACTTGAGCCTGGGAGAAGGAGGTTGCAGTGAGCCGAGACAGAGCCACTGCACACCAGCCTGGCCAACAGAGTGAAAAATAAAAATAATAAATAAATAAATAATAATAAAATAAAATGTCCCAACAAAAAATAAAGAGAGAGAAGAGACACATATGTATTGAAATTTCTGAAAGCATATACTCAAACGTAAAGCTGTCAATCTATAAGGAGGCGAAGGAGAGGAGGAAAAGGAGCCTCTCTAAAAGATCCTTAAGTAAGACTCTAACTTTCCAGTAACTCTCATTAAATATATATCCCTAAATCAGGGGTACCTAACCTGGGACTAAGGGTAGGTAGATTAAATTCTATCCATCAAGAGGTCTGTGGATAGAATTCACTGAGTCTCTGAACGGAATGGGGAAAAAATGCATTTTAAGTTCAGAAACTTATTTTTTTTTCTTCAATTATGAATGCAGGCAACAAACAGTTTTTGGCAATACCTTTGACTTTATCTTGAAGAGAAATCACACATATTTTCACTTCACATTAGCTGAGGGTCTCAAAATAGTATATATACCATTCAGCACTTTTATAATACAGTAACTACATTTGCAGCTAAATTGTATTTAAAGTAATACATGATTTTTAAAAAACCATACATCACAAATTTGCTTTTTAAATATTTTGATAACTGTATTCCAAAATCACTGTTTTCTTGGTAATCCTATACACTTAAATTTATTCACTTAAAATTGTTATTCTGGGTCAGGTGCAGTGGCTCACACCTGTAATCCCAGCACTTTGGGAGGAAGAGACAGGCAGATCACTTGAGGTCAGGAGTTCGAGACCAGCCAAAAATAAAAAATCAGCCAGTCGTGGTGGCACAAGCCTGTAGTCCCAGCTATTTGTGAGTCTGAGGCATGAGAATCGCCTGAACCCAGGAGGCGGAGGTTGCAGCGAGCCATGACTACACCACTGCACTCCAGCCTGGGCAACAGAGTGAGACTGTCTCAAAACAAACAAACAAAGAATTATTCTAAAAAGCAGACCATGGGCTTCAAACTGACCAATGGTTCCAAGGCACAAAAGTTAAAAATCTTTGCTTGCTCAGAGGTACAGATCCCTCACTTGTTTACAATTATGTCATAATGAGGAGAAGTTTACAGTTTTTTGCTTTGCCATAAAGCAAATTATAAAAAGACACACATTATTGATAATTTTCAATCTAACCTTATTATTTAATTTCTAAATAATTTCCTGTAAGCACCAGCACAAAAGTTATTCTAACTGCAACCTCACACAGAGCATCCAATAACAAATATAACACAGATGTAAAACATACAGGCACACAGCAACTATAACAATGAAGCAAGACTGTGAAACATCTTATCAAGAAACTCAAGTGTTTGTACATCTTTAAAAACTTGGTTAAAAACAAAGTATTTACCATCTCTCTTTTGGAAAATTTTTTAAAATTTCTTTAATGATTGGCTGGTAACAGGCATCCCTTTCTGCTTTCCCAGTTTCACTCCAGTCTCTCACAAACTGTTTCAATGTGGATTTTAACTTATCCATGTCAAATGTAGATGCTGGCATAATCTTTCCATTCCCCTGTTTAAAAAACAGACATCAATTAGCTTCTGAGAGAGTAATCTATTTTTGTTATGGTTAAATAGGCATGCTACTAAGGGGCTATATAGGTGGTTTAGTGGATAAATCACTAGCCTCTCACCTCAACCGGGGTTCAAGTGCAGCTTGAGATCCTAAATGAAAAGAGTTTGGTGGTCTCACTGCTACCCTCAAAAGATTAAGGTCCATTAATCATAAAACCACCATATAATTAAGCAGTCTTTACTCAGGAGAGGACCAAACTGAGCTGCTATGGAGACCGAACATCCTCTCTAAGAGAGGGAAGAAAAGTCCCTCCAGGTCATTGATGGGGCAGCATGGAGAGGCTCACACTGGAGTGGCCCAACTGTATCCATCCTGTGGATACAAAAAGAGGACTTCAGTTTCCATGTACTGCCAGTCCCTTGAGATTTATAAGTGAAAATAATTTCATACAATAAAAGATGAACAGCAATAGATATAAGACACTGAAAAAATATGAGTTAAGCAAGGGAAATTAATTTCTATCTAGTTGATTATAAAAATTTAAGTTGCTGGCTGGGCGCGGTGACTCACACCTGTAATCCCAGCACTTTGGGAGGCTAAGGAAGTTGCATCACGAGGTCAGGCGTTCAAGACCAGCCTGGCCAACATAGTGAAACCCCATCTCTATTAAAAATACAAAAACTTAGCCGGGCGTGGTAGCGGACACCTGTAATCCCAGCTACTCGGGAGGCTGTGGCAGGAGAAGCGCTTGAACCTGGGAGGCGGAGGTTACACTGAGCCAATATTGTGCCACTGCACTCCAGCCTGGGTGACAGAACAAGACTCCATCTCAAAAAAAAATTTAAGTCACTAGTCCTATATCCCATAACAGAACACTATGTTAAAATGCATCAAAATCCTAACAATTATGTTAGTATTTTACAAAGGAAAGCCAAATCCAGTCTTTGGCATACTATTCTATTAAGCCTGATCAAATAACTGAACATTCAAGTGAAAACTTCTTGGGCAGAGCAAATAGTCTATGCCAGATTATAAAAATGAAATCCACAAAGATTAAAAGACCTCAAAATACAGAGGTCGACCCTAAAATAAACACAAATAGAACAAACTTTCACATACATCTTCTCCATATTCTTTATTTTCAAACATATGTATGCAATCATTCACAATGGTCAGTAGTATTTCTTGATTATGATCAATGCATTTCCGGATCTTGTCCAAGTGAAGAAGAAACTGAGGAAGTAGTTTCTGTTGGTTAGCTGGAAGTGATCGAAATTGTCTTTCTGTTCGGTTCACTCGCTCATGCATACTGGTGCTAAAACATAAAAGGTGTTTTTTAAATTTGCAAAAGAATTCTCACCAGAGGCCAATCTTACTTTAGTTTGTCTTTCTGTACAATTATTATGCTGGATACTGTCCTGTCATTTACAATGTCTTGGCTTTTAAAAAGTCATTAACTTAGAAAGTTCTATATGTTTTTACTTTATTTCAAATCCTTCTACTAGCAATCAAAATACATATGGTTTATCACTAGTAAAAGTAAATATATGCACCAGTTAGAAGGGGGAAAGAAGATTAATGTACAATTAATTTATTTTTGTGTTTTAAACTTAAACTTTTCAGCAAAATGCTTTAAATCATTCCTTTTTTTTTTTTTTTTTTTTTTAATGAGACAGAGTCTTGCTCTGTTGCCCAGGCTGGAGTGCAATGGCGCAATCTCGGCTCACTGCAACTTCTGCCTCCCACGCTCAACCAATTCTCCTGGCTCAGCCTCCCAAGCAGCTGGAATTACAGGCACCCGCCACCGTGCCTGGATAATTTTTGTATTTTTAGCAGAGATGGGGTTTCACCATGTTGGCCAGGCTGGTCTTGACCTCCTGACCTCACGATCCTCCCACCTCGGCCTCCCAAAGTGCTGGGACTACAGGCATGAGCCACCGCACCCGGTCAGATTTTTCCATCTTTAAGTAGCAAAATAAATACTGCTGTGAAATTATAATACACAAAAAATGTATCCTGAAATTAACTAAAAATAACCTAGTTGAATTTTTAAAAATATCATAGATCTTACACACTACAAATTACTAAGCAAATAAAACACTGAAATTCTATAGTGTTTTACTTAACAATACCCACAATTTGCATTAGAAAAATGACCCCAAAGGCCATTCTGGAGACTACTTATTCATAAAACCAGAAAATGGAACATTTTTACTTATATTTAATTATTATTATTATTATTGTTTGAGATGGAGTTTCACTCTTGTTGCCCAGGCTGGAATGCAGTGGCATAGTCTCAGCTCACGGTACCCTCTGCTTCCCAGGCTGAAGCCATCCTCCCAAGCAGCTGGGACTACAGACGTGTGCCACCATACTCAGCTAATATTTTTGTATTTTTTTGTAGAGACCAGTTTCACCATGTTGCCCAGGCTGGTCTCAAAATCCTGGGCTCAAGCAATGTGCCTGCCCTGGCCGCCTAAAGTGCTGGGATTACAGACATGAGCCACTGTGCCTGGCCACAAGAATATAATCTTTTTTTTTTTTTTTTTTTTTTTTTTTAAGATGAAGTCTCACTCTGTCGCCCAGGCTGGATGCAGTGGCATGATCCCGGCTCACTCCAACCTCTACCTCCTAGGTTCGAGTGATTCTCCTGCATCAGTCTCCCAAGTAACTGGGACTACAGGCATGTGCCACTATGCCCAGCTAATTTTTGTATTTTTAATAGAGACGGGGTTTCACCATGCCCAGCTAATTTTTCTATTTATAGTAGAGATGGTGGCGGGGCGGGGGGTAGTCATCAAGACCATGTTGGCCAGGATGATCCTAATCTCCTGACCTCATGATCCACCCACCTCAACCTCCCAAAGTGCTGGGATTACAGGCCTGAGCCACGGCACCGAGCCAGAAGATCATTTTTAAAAGTTAAATATACACTAACAATATATCATTTTTATATCAAGATGGCTAAAATTTAAAAGCCTGACTATATCAAATGTTGGTGAAAATATGGTATAATTAGGACATTCATACACTAATGGTAAGTGCATAAATTAGTGCAACCACTTTGGAAAATAATTTAGAGCACTGCCTAGGAAAATTTAGCATGGTACTTGCCTTATGACCTAGCAATTATTACTCCTAGAAACTATTGCAAATGGGCCACATGAAACATGAACAATCTTTGTCACAGCACTGTTAGAAATAACAGGCCAGTGCAGGGGCTCATGCCTGTAATCTCAGCACTTTGGGAGGCCGAGGCAGGCGGATCACTTGAGGCCAGGAGCTCAAAACCAGCCTGGCCAACATAGTGAAACCCTGTCTCTACTAAAATACAAAAATTAGCTGGGCATGGTGGTGTGCGCCTGTAATCCCAGCTACTTGGAAGGCTGAGGCAGGAGAATTGCTTCAACCTGGGAGGCAGAGGTTGCAGTGAGCTGAGATCATGCCACTGTATTTACAGCCTGGGCAACAGAGCGAGACTCCATTTCAGAAAAAAAAAAAAAAGGGAAAAAACTATCTTGAAACAACCCAAAGGTCTATTATCAGAAATTACAGTATAGTTACTATAGACTGTAGAAATTACAGTATAGTTATACAATGGAATGCAGCGAAATGAGTAAATTACAGCTCATAAAATAATATGTGAGGACTAAACATTGATTTCTTTTTTCTTTTCTCCAAGTTCCTAAGAGGCCTGGGGCGTCACGCCTTATAAACTATAAAATCTTGTTAGACAGGTTTTTATTAACCCTATATAATGACTTACTTTCCAACTTGACTCTGGTATAGCATCATATGACAGATTGCAGACTCAGAAGGAAATCAAAATATTTTACCCCAAAATATATTTCTTTGACATTTTGAAACGGCGGGGCCAACAGATTTCAATGGCCCCACAAAGCCATGTTTCCTAGTGGAAATGTGCATTTGTCAAGAATCTCCATTAATGTAACCAGGCCTTCCCTCTCTAGGCCTTTCCTGGATCTAGGAAAAATTAACTGAGAGCCTGAAAACATTAAAGTCTAAGAAGAGACATTTGGAATCTCTTCCCTCTGAGGGCTGCTCCCTGGGAAGCTACATTTACTTAACAAGAACCTTGGCCTCCACAAGCCCCTTATCTACCTCAGGCATTCCTTTCTACTTAAAACAGCTTACCTCTATCAACCAACTGCCAACTAAAGAATCCCTGAAACCCACCCATGACTTGTAACTTCCTTTTTCAAGATGTCCTACCTTTTGGGTGACATCAATATATACCTTCCATGTAATTCCTTTATCTCTAAAATGATAAAACCAAACTGTAACCCAACTACCTGGGGCACACTTTCTCAGGACCATTGGACGCTGTGTAACCCTGTGGTAACTATCACATTGACCCAGAACCAACCTCTAAATATATTTTGGCAGAAATTGGTTACTCCCATCACCATCTGGAAAATACTCAGGAACATATACATTTGTTGGAAAAAGAACTGCAGAAGAATTCATAAAGTACAAATGCATTTTATAGAAAACAAAATATATTATTTAGGGATTGAGCATATGTGGAAAAACTACAAAGAAAGTAAAGATGTAAAAATTCAGGATAACGATTCTGACGGTGAAAGGATGTTTTTAAAAAACTAGACGGTAAATTGATGAGTGTTTACTATATCATTCCGTCCACTATATCATACTAAAATTTTTGTATTTTAGTAGAGACAGGGTTTCACTATGTTGGCCAGGCTGGTTTTGAGCTCCTGGCCTCAAGTGATCCGCCTGCCTCGGCCTCCCAAAGTGCTGAGATTACAGGCATGAGCCCCTGCACTGGCCTGTTTGTTATTTCTAACAGCGCTGTGACATACATACATTTTATATGTATATATGTATGTGTGTATGTTTAAATGTTCTTTGGTATTCAATATGAAATGAAAATATTTTTCATTTTCAATTTCATTTTCAATACCTTTGTCATTTGCTTTCTTAAGTCTTTATTCATCCAAACAATTTTCTCATTTTTACCTTATGCCAAATTACTCCAACTGCTGAACAGTAATGAACTTCAGAAGAAGTCCTGACAAATAAGCAAAAACCTGACTGACTAGTCACGATTTTACAAGCTTGTGTTTGGTGGCCTGGTGGGGGGGCCCTCAGGGGTACGGTGAAGAGATCAAGTTGACAGAAGCTCCACTGACTTCCGTATAGTAATGAGCTTTGAAGTCAGAAAGATCAGGGATGAAATCCAGGTTATGGCACCTATTTGCCACATGACATCAGGCAAATTACTTCCTTTTTGCAACTTTCTCATATACAGAAGCAAGATAAGAATGAACAACCATAATGATGATGATCACAGAATCTACCATTTATTGAGATTTAATAAATGGCAAGGACTAAACCAAGTCAGTTGATACTGATTATTCTGAAACATCTCCATAATGAGGTAAGTAGCATTATGTTCCTCTGCCTATCAGACAGGGTTTCATGGGAAATAACATATTCAAAAGATTTAGCCCAATAGCTGAAAACACAGCAAGCACTCCAAAAAACAGTAGGTATATCTCATTTACATTACTAAAGTGTTCAAAGTATGAAAAATGCAGAAAATTAAAAGTACATAGGGAAAGAAGGCCTACTAATTTCTAGAGAGAACTACTTCTAAGCTTTTGGCACATTTGTTTTGTTTAATACAAAGCTGCAGTGGTTCATGCCTGTAATCCCAGCATTTTGGGAGGCCGAGGTGAGAGGCCTATTTGAGGCCAGGTATTCAAAACCAGCCTGGGCAATAGGGCAAAACCCTCATCTCTACAAAAAAATAAAAAAAATAAAAATAAATAATAAAAAAAAACAATTAGCCAGGCATGGTGGTGCATGCCTGTAGTCTCACCTACTCGGGAAGCTGAGTTAGGAGACTTGCTTGTGCCCAGAAGGTCAGGGCTGCAGTGAGTCACGATTGTGTCACTGCACTGCAGGGTGGGTAACAGAGCAAGACTCTGTGTCCAAAAAAGAGAAGAAAAGAAAAAAAAAAAGACAAAGTCATCTAGCATCTTACTTTAAGCTGAATACTAACAAATTATAAGTGTATATATTTGTTGGGGTACAAAGTGGATGTTCATCATTCCATCTTACGTAACCAGCAGTTACTTAGCTATTCCCCAACTACTGGACATTTAGACACTCACTTGTTTTTATGATGAACTTTTTGTGTTCAAAATCTGTTTATATTTTATTTAAAAAATTAGCATAAATTCCCGAACCTAGAATTACCAGGTGAGAAGGGGAATAAGGTTTTTTGTTTGTTTTTTGAGATGGAGTCTCACTGTCACCTAGGCTGGA